GTCTCCAGTGGGAATTGAACTTGTACTCAACCGCTTGGGGGTGCGACAACTTCACCACTTTACTAAGTCACCACACCCTATTGTTTATTATCAAAATTACTAGTAGTGCTAAAATATTGATTTCTCATGATTTATAATAAAGTGTATATATAACTTATTTGTGTATTGTCAATTAAGTTCTACTAAATGCTATTGAGGAACCTAAGTTCTGCCAAATACTTTCGAAGAACCTAAGTTCCACCAAATATTTTCGAGGAATTTTACCTATCCTAAGCTCCACCAAGAATCTAATGTTTTCAAGGAACCTGAGTTCCGCCAAATGCTTTCGAGGAACCTAAGATCCATCAAATGTTTTCATAGAACCTAAAGCTTTCTAGGAACCAAAGTTCTGCCAAATGCTTTCGAGAGAACCTAAATACTTTCGAGTAAACTAACTAAGTCCAACTAAAAGCTTTCGAGAAACCTAAGTTCTGCCAAATGCTTTTGAGAAACCTAAATACTTTTGAATAACTTAAGGAAACAGAGTTCTGCCAAATGCTTTCGAGGAACCTAACTTAAGCTCCACCAAATGCTTTTGAGAAACCTAAGCTCCAACAAATACTTTTGAAGAAACTAAGTTCTGCCAAATGCTTTTGAGGAACCTATGATCTACCAAATCTTTCGTAGAACCTAATGTTTTTGAGGAATCTAAATACTGTCGAGTAACCTAAGCTCTACTAAATACTTTTGAAGTTCCGCCAAATGCTTTCACAGAACCTAAATACTTTCAAGGAATCTAAGCTCCACTCCACCAAATGCTTTCAAAATCTTTTGGAACCTAATGTTTTCGAGAAACCTAAATACTGTTGAGTAATCTAAGCTCCACTAAATACTTTTGAAGTTCTGCCATATACTTTCGCGGAACCTAAATACTTTTGAAGAACCTAAGCTCCACCAAATGCTTTCAAGGAACCTTAGCTCCACCAAATGCTTTCGAGGAACCTAATGCTTTCGAGAAATCTAAGCTCGCAAATATTTTCGAGGAATTTTACCTAACCTAAGAACCTAATGCTTTCAAGGAACCTGAGTTTCGCCAAATGTTTTCGAGGAACCTAAGATCTATCAAATGTTTTTGTAGAACCTAATGCTTTCGAGAAACCAAAGTTCTGCCAAATGCTTTCGAGGGAACCTAAATACTTTCAAGTAAACTAACTAAAAGCTTTTGAGGAACCTAAGTTCTGCCAAATACTTTCGAGGAACCTAAATACTTTTGAATAACCTAAGGAAACAGAGTTCCACCAAATGCTTTCGAGGAACCTAACCTAAGCTCCACCTAATGCTTTCAAGGAACCTAAGCTCCAACAAATACTTTCGAAGAAACTGAGTTCCGCCAAATGCTTTCAAGAAACCTATGATCCACCAACTCTTTTGTGGAACCTAATATTTTTGAGGAACCTAAATACTGTCGAGTAACCTAAGCTCCACTAAATGCTTTTGAAGTTCCGCCAAATACTTTCACAGAACCTAAATACTTTCGAGGAACCTAAGCTCTGCTCCACCAAATGCTTTCGAAATCTTTGTAGAACCTAATGTTTTCGAGAAACCTAAATACTATTGAGTAACCTAAGCTCCACTAAATGCTTTTGAAGTTCCGCCAAATGCTTTCGCAGAACCTAAATACTTTTGAGAAATCTAAGCTCCACCAAATGTTTTTGAGAAACCTTAGCTCCACCAAATGCTTTTGAAAAACCTAAACTAAATGCTTTCGAGAACCTAAGCTCCACCAAATACTTTCGAGGAAACTGAGTTCCACCAAATGCTTTCAAAGAACTTAAGATCCACCTAATCTTTCATTCCACTTGACACAGAGTTTACCTTTATGCGCTGTTATTAGTGATTGATATAGCTCATATTTTTGCACAGTGTATATGATTGGCGCAGAGCTCAAAGTTATGCACTGTTATTTTAATAGAAAGCAGCTCATATTGTGTGCTGTAGCTTGATTTTTTATTATTTTTTATTGTTAAGTATCTATAACTAAATTTTTAATATTTGATCTCAATATTAACTTATCTAATCCAACTTTGATCTAAACATTGGCTAATAAAACATAAATGGTGGTCTATTTATAATCTAATTGCATATATTTTGGTCAATATACATTGAGTCTATTCTGAGTAAATTTTCTTTCATCTGAATTTTTGTTAAAAAGATTCATATTCAGCATTGGTCATCAATTGAAAGAACCTTGGTGACACCTGCCTGGGCAAGGTCTCTGATCAAATAAAGTTGTGCATCAATTATTCATTTAATGCGCCTTAGTACTTTATAAATTCTATCTTCATGTTTATGAGAAGTTATATTGAAGTTTTTTTTTTGAGTTCGTGTTTTTTCTCGGTCCAAAAGTTTTAATTGTTTTTATATAAGCTGGTCATACCAGAAAATATTAGATTAAATTTTTTTACTGCTACTAAAAGAAAAAAAAAATTATTTTTGTCGTAACCAAATAATTGAATTTTTTATTTATTCTGTGGCTTTTATATTATAGCATTTTATTTTCAATTTTGATATAGATTGATATAACTGCGAATTTACCTTCATTTCTACAATTATAGGAATTACCATATCTTAATATTTTAATTTAGGAACACAATTTTGGTAAAATTAATTCTTAACTCTGGTGATAAATATAATATTAGAAATAGGCATTTTTTATTATATAACTATTAATTTCTAACTTTAGTTTAAATACTAACTCTAACTACAATTAAAATTTTTATTAATATAAAATATTTTAATTTTGTGTTTAGTATATACACTAATTTGATCTCAGAATTTTTTTTTTTTTAGTAGTTTCTTTTTTGTGCTTTTTTTCATATTTTATTACGAAAAATAATAAATAAATTAAATATATATATATATCAGTAATTACATTGCTGCAGCATTCTCATTGTTAATTATTTTATTTTACCAAATTTTCAGAAAATAAGCAAAAAGCAGTTGATAATCAATATTTCTCTAAACCAATTATTTTATATTATTAATACAAATATTCGTTATATCACATGACTTCACCGACCCATGGGTCTGTAGAGTCACATGTTTATAAATCTAATATTTTAACCTTTGCAATAAAATCTCATTGAATTCGGAAGTCTTATGATAAACATTGTTATCATTTAAGAGATCTTTGAGAAATCGATCATATTTAGTATTTTCAGTTCTCATTAAATATCTTGAAGTGATACTAATCTTTCTAATTTACTTTGATCCTCAAATTTTTCGAATTTCTTATTAGGGTGTCCAGAATTCTACGGTGCATAATTTTTCTCACTCTAAAAATATCTTATTGTATTGTCTCCGTAAGATAAATGTGACTTTAATCATTTTTTAAAACCAAATACAAAAAAGTATTTTTAGAGCGAGCAAAATTATGCACCGTGTTAGGGTTAGGTAAAATTGCGAGAGGAATATTTTTGTTAGTTACACAACAGGTTCAGGGTTACTTTAGTAAAATTTTGAAATATAGCAAGGATGCACTAAAAAAACCCCCTTAAAAAAAAATTAAAAAAAGAACTCAAGACGGATACAATCAATTATATAGGTCTAGAATTTTGCAAATTTGTGATCTCTGCAGATCACAATGTCATGTAAAAATCAGAGATTCTGTATATTTTAATAATATTACCAATTTCAAATAAATATAAATATAACTGAAATTGATCAAAAATATGAATTAAGAATCTCGGAAATTTTCCTCGTTCATAATCACAAAAATCATGGGATCACATCTTTTTGCAAAGTGCTATAATTATAACAGTCACAAATTCCAATTGAATTGCAACTAGAGATAGGACTAACAATATGAAAAATAAGTTTGTTGCATTACAAAGAAAAAATATTTCTTTTCAATGATTTACGGGGTATTATATTTGAATTTTTAAGTCCCATCTCTAATTGCAATAGTACCAAAAGAATGCCAACACACGTTATACAGTATATGGTATCTTCTCAATAATTCATAACTCAGTAAGTTGGAAATTTTTGGAGTTGCAATAATGCTGGCCGAACTTTTAAAGCTGGATATTTACATAAAAATAGATAAATTTTTAGGATTAAAACCAGTTTTTTAACGGCGGCTAATTTTGAAACTTTATTCATATAATCAGATATTCTAAAATTGTTATTTGGCTTTTGAATAGTTTGTACTGTATTATAAATATTCTATTAAATATCTAAAAGATAGGATAAATTAAGAAAAAAATTGATATAATCAGGATTTGTGATGTGTTTTGTTGTTTTTGTATATTTTTGAAAATCTTTGATTTTATTTTTATATTGTTAAAAGAATGAATTTATGTATTGTTATGCTCATATAAAACAAGGGCTTAAAAACCAACAGTGGTTGAATTTTGAAAAGTGCAAAATGTCAAAAGAGAAAATAAAAACATTTTGCTTGGTACTATTGGTCATACAGCTTTTTATCCTTACGTTTCTTTGTCCAGCTCTTGGTAAATACAAACCTAATGTCTGATTTAATAATTCAAGCAAAAGTTAATGTGTTTATATTCTTTTTAATAGCACTGGCAAAAGTCTTTATATTTGATCAAACCAATAGGGAACTTAACTATAATAAAGGTGTTGAATATTCGTACGAACAAACTAATTTTTAACAATTGTTATATATTTCTTTCAGCAAATTAATATTTATTTTATGATGAATATGAATATTTTAGCTACATAGTACTTACTTGGTCAACAGCTGGTAAGAACTTTATTATTTTATTGAATTTCGAGTAAATGATTAATACTATTAATACATCAAAAATATAACATATATTTTTTAGCAATTAGTTTTCTTGCAATGTGTTGTTATTGTTTTTTAATATGAAAGACTTTAGGTAATATATCAACTTTTATAAACTCTTTGAAAAGTAATAGATAATAAAAATTAATAAGCAATATTTTGTTCTAGAGCTTTAACAATTATTATATCTGTAGCTTGGTTTGTTTTACCAAGTAAGTTTTTAAAACTTTACAGTAACTAATTACAGTATTAATATCTAATTTATAACATTTTTTAACCTAGTTGTTTACACCATCTTCACTATACATGAAATTGATCTGGTCCCATTTGATTGTCAGTACAAATTTAAACTTGCAAAAAGCAAAACTGCATGTAGGATTCGAGCAGCGAATTTTATTTTTATGTAGTTATATATTGTTGATGTGATAGCTAGCCTTATAATCATGATTACTTTGATGTTTGAAAAAGATGAAAAGTCTGATATTAGAGGTTGGTTGATCAAAATGGAGATCTCTCACCCTTTTCCGTTTCTATTGAATAGCGTCTATATAATCTAATACTAATTAAAATTAATTTTAACCAATTTTATTTGATCTAATAGAAATTAATAATATTAAAGTTTGATGTAAAACTTGGAAATACTTAAAGAAAAAATGCTTTCTTTTTTTTTTTAGAAATATGTAGCCACTTTATGTGCAATAAATTTCGTATATAAATTTTATTTATATCAAAATTCCAATTCGGTGCTAAGTTTAATCACTCTCAATGATCTCATCAGCTTCAGAATTAATGCAGTTTCTATATTCAATACTCTGAACAATAACTTTCTTTGCTTCTTCATACGTACATTTAATATCATTCATAATTAGATGGACTGCTGTCTCAGGGACTAATACTTCAAAAAGATAATCAATCTGAGAAAGCGGAGAACAAGATTCTTTGGTAATAACATTAGAATTAGGTTTTAAGTATATTTGTTGTAATATATCAGCAATAATATTATGACCCTTTGGCCTGTAATAACCGGGCTACGTGTATTATAATTATATATAAATAATTTGCTTATTACAAATTTTATTATACTAATATAACCAAAGCAGTACCTGAATTTCAATAAATGTATTATATTGTATTATAGGAGTCTTTGCTTTTCTTACACCAACATTATTAATGATTTCTATTAAACGTTCACGATAGTAACTTGAAACTGTATTATTAATAATATTGAGAAGTTCTTTGTTAAGATCTTGTATGCGTTTTGGCAGATTTTTGAAATTAACTACTGGATATGCTTTGGTATTTATTTCATTCACTGAAAACACTGTACTTATTTATTAAAAAAATTATTTTTTAAATGAAACATCAATAGATAAAATTTACAAATTTATACCTTGTCTATCATTAATAAATACATCAAATTCAACTTGATTGTCTAATATTTATTTAACAAATATAAATGATCAAGAAACAATAATAGATAATAAAAGTAAATATCTTAAACATAAAATATCAGTCAGCGATAAAATCTTTAAATTCGTCATCAGAATCTATTTAAATAATTAATGCCATTAAAATAAGTAAACAAAAATAAAATTCATATTTAACTTACATTCTTTTCCAAATTTAAACCATTCTATTAATGAATCTAGTTTTTTTCGTAGTTCATTACCATATTGACCAGAAAAAAAGCTAGTATAAAATGGGAACTCTACGAATTTACTTCGAATTAAATTGTATAGACTTTCAACTTTGTGATAGATTGTAAAATCATATTTGAGACCACTTCTATTATTGATGTCAGTTTTGGCTATATGATTTTCTAATAAAAAGTATTTGCATCTCATTTCCAAAACTTGATCAACCGAACAAGATAGCTTTTGTGCAATTGATTCTATAGTGGTTTTGTTTACCCATTTTTTCTGAAAATTTTCGATAAATTGTTTTTTATTGCTCAAATTTTCATATTCCTGCATTAAATAATGCTATTTGATGTCTACAGGGTCTTCGGCGCAGATATTAATGAGGATTAATTTGCAGGAATTCACATCAGATTTTCGAATTCCGTTTTTCAACAGTTCTTTATCAATAATAGCTTCACTTTTTTTTTTCCTCTTTACTTTAATAGATAGTCTAGCGAGATGTAGCTCTTTATCCTTTGAAGAATGAAAAATTAAAAATATGTAAATTCTAAACAAATTTAAGTGATAATTTACAAGCTTTAAAAATATGTAAATTTCAAATGATAACTTATAAACTTTCTCTTAGCATTAGGATTTTTATATAACTCAACAAATTTTTTAGCTACTTTTTCTGGCTAAAATTTAGGAAAGATTAATTTAAATTTGAAATTGAAAGAAATTTTATTCTACATATATCATTTAATTGATTTATAAGAGTTCTTATCTCGTCATTAAGACTATTAACTTCATCTTCAAGGTTTAAAATTTGCTGGTCCTTATCTGTTTTGTAATAAGATGGTAAATTTTATGAATTAAAAATAAAGTTTAACAAATAAATGACCTGTGTTCCTTGTGGTCCGGCAATAAGCTAAGTTAAAAAATAAAAATTAAGCTATTTTGACAAAAATAAATTGTCATTAAAAAGTTAAGATTTGAAGAAATACCCATTTAATCAAGAATAAATTGTGAAAAACCAATGCTAATTATTGACTAAATTTCTCACATAAATATATAGTATTAGTTCTTAATTTTGTTATATAAGAATGAGAGAGTTAATAAACAAAAAACTGCCTCCAAATTTGGAGAAAATTTTAGCGTGATTGATTTGACCAATCAAATTTCAAGATCAGGTATAGCATGCGTAAACTAATAATAGATTAGTGGTGTTATAAAAAATCGGCAGTCACATGATGATATATGAGATATACGATTATCAATAATCTCACATGGTTGTATGAGATATACGATTATCAATAGTCTCATATGGTTGTATGAGATATATAATTATCAATAGTCTCATATTATTGTATGAGATATATAGTCTCATATGATTGTATGAGATATACGATTATCAGTAGTCTCATATGATTGTATGAGATATATAATTATCAATAGTCGCACATGGTTGTATAAGATATATAGTCTCATATTGTTGTATGAGATATATAGTCTCACATGATTGTATGAGATACACGATTATCAATAGTCTCATATGATTGTATGAGATATACGATTATCAGTAGTCTCACATGGTTGTATGAGATATACGATTATTAGTAGGCTCATATGATTGTATGAGATATATAGTCTCATATGATTGTATGAGATATATGATTATTAATAGTCTCATATGTTTGTATGAAATATAGTCTCATATGATTGTATGATTGTATGAGATATACGATTATCAGTAGTCTCATATGATTGTATGAAATATAAGATTATCAGTAGCCTCACATGATTGTATGAGATATATAATTATCAATAGTCTCACATGGTTGTATGAGCTATACGATTATCAATAATCTCACATGGTTGTATGAGATATATAATTATCAATAGTCTCACATGATTGTATAAGATATACGATTATCAATAGTCACACATGGTTGTATGAGATATATGATTATCAATAATCTTACATGGTCGTATGATATATATAGTCTCACGTGGTTGTATGAGATATACAATACTTATTCTAATCGAAGATTGGTACCCACATGGGCACTAATTATTCTAATCGAATATTGGTACCTACGTGGGTACTAGATATTCCAATCGATATATTACAGTTCAAAAAATTGACAATAAAACGTGTACTCCACAAAATACAACTGATTATCTTTTTATGGTTCTATTACCTGAGACTGGCATGCATTTAATTATGGAGAACTTTAATTGTGGATTTGACAAAGCTAGAAAAATAATGAAAGAAAGTGTGGTATATAGTTCACTGTTTAATAACAAAGAGGAAATATTAATCGAAAGTGAATATGATGATAGTGAGGATACTGAGGATATGAATGAATAATAATTGATTAGTTTAGAGGCTTGAAAAGCTTTTATATTTTTCTTACATCAGTAAAAGTCATAAACTTACGCTTATAAAATTGGTTATTTGTCTTTAAAAAATATATAATTCTTAGATTCATGGTTTCGGTTTTAATAAAAATAAATTCTATTTGAATTCATGTCGAATCACTCATAGTGGTTTTAAATATAAGTTCACTAAGTTCACTACTTTGTAATTTCTACTTCTACTTATTTTTACAATTATTTTTTTCTTTGTTTTACAGCTTCGTGAGTTGTTTCAAGATTATCAATATTGTTTGAAGTTTCATTTATCTATTGGTGAGTTCTTTGATTTTCTTTTTTTATTCTTTTTTTAAATATTAATTAAATCTTTAAGCTGAGATATAAATGTCAATCTGTATTCCAAATAGATTATACAATATAAAATTATGATTTTTCTGAATCTTTTATTAGATATGTTTACTTTGGCTAATCTTTCTTCTCAATATTGTTTAAAGCTTCATTTTCAACAATATTATTTCCGAATATTTTCTGTGTCTATAGGAATTAAAATGGTTAGTTTTTTATTGTAATAATAAATATACTGTTGAAACAGACCTATATTAAATATTCATCAGAATCTTGCATAGTTAGAAATATTATCGATAATTTAAATTTGGATTTCTTTCATTATTTTAATATTAATTTGTATTGTTACATTTTTTTTTTTTTTTTTTTTTTTTTTTTAAAGAGAGGTCTATCCTCTATCTCTTTTATTAATAGTTGATTATACATATATTA